AGGGAGGAGGGCGGTGGGAGGAGGGTCGCGCATACCGTGGAAGGAGGAGCGAGGACGGCGGCGGCAATGCGGCGGCGGGGAAGGGCCGAACATCGGCGGCGGCGAACGACGTGCGTGGGAGAGTGTGGGAGTGGGAGTGGAGAAGGGGAGAGTGAGGGGCGGTCGATGGAGAAGATATGATGGGTTTAGCTGTAGCTCATGTTGGGCGAAAGCACTACTGCTAAATTTACCTAGTAATAGCGCGTTTCAGGAGAAAGCGCTACTACTATACTTAGCCTGGTGGCAACGGTGTGGCAATATTAGTAGTAGTGCACTTTGTCATTGCCGCCTTATGTGGACACATGCTACCACTAGTAGAAAAAGGGGCTTTTGTCCCGGTTGGTAAGGCCCTTTAGTCCTGGTTTTTGAACCGGGACTAAAGGGTCGTTACTAATGCCTCTCCCCTTTAGTCCCGGTTCTGACACGAACTGGGACTAAAGGCCGTGGCCACGTGGAGCTCCACCTTTAGTCCCGGTTGGTAACACCAACCGGGACTGAAGGAAATTTTATGATTTTTTTTTGATTTTTTTTCAAATTTCTGAATTATTTTAACCTCTAAACTCTAATCACCACCCCTCATCACTGCTTAATTTATCCTCTAATCTCTAATCACCCCTCATCATTCCAAATCATCTAACTTTCCAAACGGTCACCCATCCTCCCACTCCCCCAGCCTGAGCACGCTTAACTTCCGGGTTCTATTCTCCCTCGTTTCCAAGTCTGCATTTGTTTTTTTCCTGACAATAGTAAGATGTCAATCCTATTAACCCTCAGGAATTTTGCTTGAGCATGAAGTGACACATTTCACTGTTTGAGTTTGAAACTATTGTTTTAAAAAACAATAATTATTTAGTAACACTAATATTTCTTGAATAATTAGTTTGACCATTCACCATTGTTTGACCACAGTTTGACCATAGTTTGACCAGATTTGACCAAAATTCAAAATAACTGAAATAATTGTTTAGTAACACTAATATTCTAGAATAATTAGTTTGACCATTGTTTGACCACAGTTTGACCACAGTTTGAATTTTTTTCGATTTTTTCCACTCTAGATCTTAAAAGCCCCGTAACTTTTTTTCTGTTAGGTTTTTGAGAATTTTGAAAATGTTTAACTCCCCCCCACCCACCCTCCCCCATTAAATTTGGATGTAACTTTTCGAGTAGATGATTTTTCATATAAAAAACTTTTTCATCCGAGTTAGTATGCGAAAGTTATGCCCATTTTTACAAATTCTCGAGAGATTTTGCAAATAAAGTCAAAATTCATATTTGCAAATTTTCCCAACAACTAGACCACATATCACATGG